AAAGTTACTTGTATTCTAGAAAGATGTCACTGGTGTCAGGTTAGTCTAGGGTGTGAATGTGCTCAGGGGGTGCCCCGGGGGCTTCTGTGGCCCCAGAGGGATGGGCTGGGTGGGGCCTGGGGGGGTAGGAAGGCTGACCCCTTACCCTTGGTTTATCCTCTCCCCAAGTACCTGTGGTCTGATTTCCACCAGACGGTTCACCACCAACGTGTGTATTCCTAATGGGTAGTAATTACTCATTTATGTGTAAGTCAATGCTGCAGAAGATAAATTTCTTATTAAAATAATTTTTAACATTTATTTATTTTTGAGAGAGAGAGAGAGACAGAGGTAGGGGTAGGTACCGAGAGAGAGAGAGGGAGACACAGAATCCCAAGCAGGCTCCAGGCTCCAAGCTGTCAGCACAGAGCCCGATGTGGGGCTCGAACTCACACTCTGTGAGAGTGTGACCTAAGCCAAAGTCAGCCGCTTAACCGACTGAGCCACCCAGGCACCCCTATAAGAGAAGTTTTAATAATTTAAGCAAACCTGGAAACAATTGGAGAAGAACATAAGGAATTCATGTAGAAGAAATAGGAGCTTGACCATGCGACCCCGGAAAAGTGTCGGCAGGTGCGATATAGAGAGCGTGACGGGGCAGATCTGTGTGGCTGAGGCTCAGACACGTGCATGTGGCAATTGTAAGGTGGGAGGGAGGTGACCTTCCCGCTCAGGCAGAAGGGCAGAGCAAACCAGGGGCCAGTTTATGGTCTCACTGCATCCTCTCCACCGAAATAAATGTCCGAGACAGGGACGGGGAAGAATACGTCGCGTCAGAAAAGGGACCAAGATAAAACATACACAGGCGCCCTCCAGGCCCCTCGGGAGAGGGCAAAGGCTGTGACCAAGCTGGCGGCAGTGAACCGAAAAGAAAAGGTCAGTACACTTGCCTACGTTGAATCGAACTTCTGAGAATCAAAAATATCCCTGAAATGGCAAACAAGATGGGAAAAGCGTTGGCTACAAATCCGAGCCAGCTGTGTTTCTTACCACATGAAGAGCTCATCCTGGAAGGATTTGAGGAATCAACCAGAATTTCCAGTGGGCCGAGGAATCCACAGGCCACCCTGTGAGGTGCTCGCCCAGCCGTGGCCCTGGCTTTGCACTTCAGGGTGTAAATAAACTTTCTGGCAGTAAACCCATTTTACAGATGAGCCACTTGACTCAGACTCCCAATAACTGGCCCCAAGGGGCTCAGCTCCCAAGGGATGGGCGGGCAGGCTGTGGCTTGACTGGAAAACCCTGGTGCCCTCAGTCTCGCTGACCTGTCAGAGGGTAGTCCGGAAGAAGAAAGAGGAAGGCCTAATGAGCTATGAAAAATGGTCAACTTCGGTATTTAAGACCTGAGCTGAAAACCACAGGCCGAGGCCACGGTTTGCCTCTGGGATTGGCCAGAAAAAAATTCCAGAAAAATCACCAGTCTCAGCGTGCCGCAGCTATTATGAAACAGACCGTTCTGTGTTTTAGGTGGAAGGGTAAACTGGGCAGACGGGAGTTAGACAATATGTATCTAGACTGAAAAAAAACAAATACACGTGAAGCCTTCGGCCCAGTGGCTCTATTTCCAAGGATCCGATGCAAATCATCAGAAATGTGGATAGAGTTGTATGTGCAGAGCTGCTTCTTAGATGGGATCGTTGTTGGATGTTTCCGAAATTTTCAACTGACTGCAAGTGTTCGCTACAGTAGGTTAGATTCTGAAAACAATATTTACCGACGCTTTAAAATAGCACCTTGTATGAGCGCCTGGGGGGCTCGGTCGGTTGGGTGGCTGCCTTTGGCTCCAGTCATGATTTTGGGTTGTAGGTTCGAGCCCCACGTCAGGCTCAGTGCTGAGAGCTCGGAGCCTGGAGCCTGCTTCAGATTCTGTGTCTCCCTCTCTCTCTGCCCCTCCTCTGCTCACACTGCCTCTCTCTCTCTCTCCCTCAAAAATAAATATTAAAAAATTTTTTTAAAAAAATAAAATGAAATAGCATTTAGTAATGTTAATGGGGGGAGGGAAGTTGATGGTAAGAACACCGGTTGTTCATCCTGTGTGATTTCCAGCGTCTGGCTGCGCACAGTAGTGGTCCAGGGTCCACAGGAAGCTATCACTACCCTACCTGCCGTCATGGAATTCAGGCTCATTTGTATTTTACATCTGGTCTGTGGTTCCCCAAAGTCTACCTGCTTGTTTTACAGTTTGGGAAAGAAAGGGAAAAATATGTATCCCGATGGTAAAGAGCTGATTGGATGGAGAAACATTGGCTGAAATGGCAGGCACTTGGTGGGGGGTGGCCCCAGAAGGGGAGGCTTCGCTGCATTTGGGGGTGTGGGAGATACCACTTTGCGCACTAACCCCAGCAGCCCAGCTCCGTCCTGAGCACCTCGGCGGGGCCCCTGGTAGTTTCCTTGTCTCCAGCTCTGAGTCCTCCAAACCCAGCTCCTCTCTTCTTTTCTAATCAGAAACTTCCATTCTTTTTTTTTTTTTTTTTTAAATGTTTGTTTCTTTTTGAGAGAGAAGGAGACACAGAATTGAAACAGGCTCCAGGCTCTGAGCTGTCAGCACAGAGCCCGCCGCAGGGCTTGCAAAGGAACTACAAGATCTTGACCTGAGCTGAAGTCATACTCTTTAACTGACTGAGCCACCCAGGCGCCCCAGAAACTTCCATTCTTAACTAACCATATGATAACCAGTACAGTATGGATTAACATCACTTTAAGGACTAAAGTCATGTTCCAGGGCTTGGAGATAGTGATGTAGCTTTGTTGCCGTGAGGAACTTCAGAGGTTATTTGTAACCTCCATGTGATCCCAAGGTCACCTATACATTCTCCGTAAGCAATTCAGACGTTGCACGCAGACAGATATACCGTGTTTGTGCATTTTGTCTTTTCTCTGGAAGAATACACCGAAAACTGGTAGGCTCTATCCGTGGCTGAAAGCAGAGAGGCTCATTTAGTTGTTTTTCTTTGTGCTTTTCTTTAGCCTCTAGATTTTCATAGTTTGCAGGTATTACATCCATGATTAAAAAGAACGCTGTTTGATTTGGAGGAAGAGAAGCAGTGAGAATACCTTCTCGCACCTTGGGGCTTTGGTCCATTTTGCCCAGATTTTCTGGGGGAAGGGGTGACGGTGCTGAGCCTTCCCAGGGAGTGAGCTGCCTCCTTCTAACTGGTAGATGTCAGGGAGCTGACCCTTCTGGACTCTCTCCCCAGTGCCCCCGAGTCTGCGTCCCCAGCTCTAGCGAGCAGCCCCCAGCACTGCATTGACCACACCTAGGCGTGTATGCTTGTGGGTTGGTGTGCACATGGCAGAGGGCACAGAGCATCTCCCATTGTTTCTGTGCTTCAGCCCATGGCTCTGGACAGACAGCCACTTGCTGGTGAGCATTCGGGTAATAAAGTGACTTATTCAAAATGAATGAGCTTTTTGGAGTTTCTTGGACACCTTGGTGGGAAGGCACTTGGGGTCTGAAAGCTCCGCTACCTGGGTTCTAATCCCCGGACCGCCCCTTTCCAGCAGGGGGTAGCAAGGTGGACATACCCTTCCTGAGCTGAGTGTCCTCATCTGTACAGTGGAAGTCCAGCTGGCAGTGTAGACTCTGAGTGCACGGTTTCTGGTGCGGGCATGACATGGGGAACCTTCCACCCGGAGCAGTCTGCGGTACCGAGGGGTTCCTTCCTGTGCAGAGGTGGGGTTGAGGTTGCTGAATTGGCTGTTATTTCTGCCACTATATCATTGCTATCACAGTAGATGTTTTTTGCAGAGTTCTAAAACCTAATTACAGAGGAAATGCATGTGCATTGTAAAAATTCCAAACTTCCGTAAAGCTGTAAGAGAAATGTGACCTCTTTCCACCCCAAGTTAATCCCCTGCTAGTATTTTGTTATAAGCGTGTCAGTCTTAAAGGGCTCATTTTCTTTGCCAACATTTTAATGCTTCCTTCATCATTACTTGTGGAGTTGTCATAATATTGCTGTTGTAACTTTTGCCTAAGATTGTTGTCCTCAACCTGACGTCTTAAAGATTGCCACCGAGCCCTTCTGCTTGTGGGGTTGGGGGTAGGGGTGGGTGGGAATGATAAGGCAGCCTCTGGATGCCTCCGTACCAGATAACAGACCGGCGCAGGCTTGATTTCCAGTAATTGTGGTGGAAAATGCGGGTGCTCCGTGGAATGCTAATTATTTATATTCATTGCCTAAATCCAGCAGTTGAAGGTAATTCCTTTTGAGTTGCTATTCAGGCAAAGCCACTGAAGCCAGAAACTTAGAGTGACTTCTGTCCTGAGTCTCTTGCTAAGCAGGTAGCATCTTCTCACGATTAAGTTCCCTTTTACAGTCTATTTTATTTTTATTTTATTATTTTATTTTATTTTATTGTATTTTATTAAAAAAAATTTTTTTAATGTTTTATTTATTTCTAGGAGAGAGAGAGAGACAGCGTGAGCCGGGGAGGGTCAGAGAGAGAGGGAGTCACAGACTGAAACAGGCTCCAGGCTCTGAGCTGGCTGTCAGCACAGAGCCCGACGCGGGGCTCGAACCCACGAACGAACCGCGAGATCATGACCTAAGTGAAAGTCGGACGCTTAACCGACTAAGCCACCCAGGCGCCCCTATTTTATTTTATTTTAAAATGTTTATTTTTGAGAGAGAGAAAGAGACAGAGCACGAACAGGGGAGGGGCAGAGAGAGAGGGAGACCCAGCATCGGAAGCAAGCTCCAGGCTCCCATCTGTCAGCACAGAGCCGATGCAGGGCCCAAACCCACGAACCGTGAGACCATGACTTGAGCCGAAGTCAGACACTTAACGGACTGAGCCCCCCAGGCGCCCCAATCAAGTGTATTTTAAACAACCGTCCTTTAAAACTAGAAAGGTAACGAAACAGAAGGAATTGAGCATGAAGGCAGTGCGGGCGATGGTGGATGTGGGCAAGTGTGAACTTCTTTTGACCAAAGCCTGTGTGTTCCTGTGTCCCGCAGGACCAGGTGGAGCAGACACCCCCTGTCAGCGCACGCAGGACACCCCCTGTCAGCCTGGCAGGACCCGGCTTCCCCGCGCCGTCTGACCGGCTCACCACCCACCAGGGTAAGAAATGACAAAAACGTGATGCCCCCAGTGCCCTCACTTCCAGCTGCGACTTGGCCCCATGCTGGGCTCTGGATGCCAAGAAAGTATTCATGCCACTCATCTGAGAAGATTCTGACCTGGGCTCTTCTGCCCGTTAAGGAAAACAAATTCTCAAACAGGAAAAAAAAAAAAAATGGTTGGCCGTGACCTCTTTACATTCAGGTGTCCCCTGCTTTTGGAAAGTTCGTTTTACGTTGGTTCGCTTTTGCAAAAGTCCTACCTCTGTGCCTGTTTTTGGTAACCTAAAGCAATCCGAGGAGGGTTTCCATTTTTACAAAAAACGATTCGGTGTTAACTTTTGCAGGGAGCCATTGTTGTGCGTGACAGTGGCCCCACCAAGCTCCTTGACCCTGAGCTTTACCCAGGACTAAAGCGTCTGGCCATTAGAGCCTTCAGCTGTGAGCATCCATGTTTTCCCTCCTATTTCACTCATCCGTTAGCAAGATGTGTCTTAAGCTATGAGAGGAGGCAGGGAGAGGTGGTTTTTGGTCCTTGGAATGTTCACAAAGTTTGTCGTATAAATTAATGGTGAGTGCTTTTTTGCTTTACACTGTTTTAGCTTAGGAAGGGTTTTGTAGGAGCCCTGGACTTCCGAATAGCCAGGGGAAGCCTGGATTTCCATTCAGGGAGCAAAACTTCAAAATCAGTTCTACAGGTGTCTTATCTCCAAATGCAACTTAAGAGCAACGAGATGTTACCTATCAGGGCCCCTCCATGGTGAAATCTTGTTGATTTTGGCATTTTTTAAAATGTTTATTTGAGAGAGCACGCAAAAGAGAGCGTGCACAGTTAGGGGAGGGGCAGAGAGAGAGGGAGTCACAGAAACCGAAGCAGGCTCCAGGCTCCGAGCTGTCAGCACAGAGCCGGTGTGGAGCTCGAACCTGTGAACTGCAAGATCATGACCTGAGCTGAAGTTGGACGCTTAACTGACTGAGCCACCCAGGTGGCATTTTTATATTTCCACTTAGGCTGCTGGGTGTGTGTTTCTGTGATCTTGGTAATTCTCCACCTTTCTGTGATTCCTTCTTTTCTAGGTCTGTTAATTTCTGATGGGATCGTCATGGAAAAGAAAGGACAGACAGGGATTAAAAACAAATTGGGTCTAGGGAGGCATGCTTTGATATGGGGTGGGCAGCCCTTAAGAAGGGAACCAGCCTGATTGGGAGAGGGATCAGGAAAAAGGCACACAGCTCATGGTTTGGATTACTAGATTAAGTATAATAAATTGTAGGGTTTAGAGCTGGGGGAATTAGAATAATCAGATTTTTAAAATTGCTTAGGCAGAAAGAGGATGCGGTGTAGCAGAAATAAACGCTGGGCGTTTCATAGGAAGTCAAAGAGACGTTTTCTCAAGTGTTAGAAGATTCATAAAACAGTCAGGATTTTCTGTGTCAAACATAATTTTCCGGTTGCCTTTTAGAAAACTTGCAACGTGGGGCGCCTGGGTGGCTTAGTCGGTTAAGCGTCCGACTTTCGCTTAGGTCATGATCTCGCGGTACGTGGGTTCGAGCCCCGCGTCGGGCTCTGTGCTGACTGCCAGCTCAGAGCCTGGAGCCTGTTTCAGTCTGTGACTCCCTCTCTCTCTGACCCTCCCCTGCTCACGCTGTCTCTCTCTCTCTCTCCTAGAAATAAATAAAAAAACCTTAAAAAAAAAATTTAAAAAAAAAAAAAAAAAAGAAAACTTGCAACGAGAAAGAGCAGTATTGTTAATGTTGGCTTTGAAATGTAGAAAAATTTTGATTTATTGCATTTCACTGGTTACCAGTGGCCTCATTTATGGTGAAATAATCTGAGTTTTGGTATTACTGTTAATCTATAAATCTATGTCAATGCTTTAGTCAAAAAGATAGGAAAAAATTACACTGAAAGATCTTATTTATTTTTAAAGTTTATTTATTTATTTTGAGAGAGAGTGCACAACTGCGCAGAGGGAGGGGCCGAGAGAGAGAGAATCCCAAGCAGGCTCTGTGCCGTCAGCCCAGAGGCCAGCGCGGGGCTCGATCTCACAAACTGCAGGATTATGACCTGAGCCGAAGTCAGATGCTTTTAGGCGTGCCTAAAACCTGCAATAAATTTTAAGCGATCTATTTCACGCAGGCCAGGTTCTTTGACCCAGTGTGATTAAATCAGAAGTCAACAGAAAAAGTCACAAACAAAAACATGTAAGTATATGGGTGGAAACTTTAAAATACACGGTTACTCCACTCCTGGATTACGGAGGAAAATTTTCACAATGAAAATACGAGTTAGCCATTTAGAATTGAATGTAAAATGAGTGTAGCGCAAGTAGGAAGTTGTACGTTGTTGCTAAAATTGTATTCAAGACTCCATTTCTAACCTTGGAAGCGAAACGGAAATTAGGACCATGAAAGATGGATAATGCTAACGAATGTAGAAGGAGTAGTTACAAAAATTAAATCAGAAATTACGAGAATGGTGAAGAAAGTATCAACAGGTAGGAACAAAACGAAATGCCGTCTTTTGCAAAGTCAGGCGAAACCAAATCTCTAGCAGAGATGCTCGGGAGGAAGGTGGCACCCAGGAAGACCACATGAAGAGAGCACGTCAGAGAGTTCAAACGAGAAAACCGTGAAAAGATTCATGCCTATAAATGTGAAAAGAGGGAAATGGATAAAGGTTCACCAAAACAAAGAAAAATTACGACACCCAGTGCTGTCACGGATGTGGGGCAGCAGGAACGCTCACTCATTTGTGGTGGGGATGCAAGGCTCAGACGCTTTGGAGGGCAGTCGGTCAGTTTCTTACAAAACTCAGCTTACTCCCGCTGTACGACCCAGCAGTTGTGGACCTTGGTGTTTACCCAGAAGAGCTGAAGACTTATGTCCACACAGAAGCCGACCCGGGAATGTGTATAGTTGCCTTATAACTAATTGCCAAAGCCCGGAAGCAACCATGATGTCCTTTGTTTGATGAATGGATAAATAGACTGGTGTGTCTAGACTATGGACTATTCCTCAGCACTAGGGAGAGGTGAATTGTCAAGCCACAGAAGGACAGGAAGCTGGCCTGCATGGTACTGCATGAAAGGAGCCAGTCTGAAAGGGTGACGTGCTGTAGGATTCCAATTCTGCGATGTTCTGGAGGCAGTAGAAAGACCAATGGTTGCCAGGGTTGGTGATGGAAAATGATGAGTGGGTGGAGCAGAGATTTAGGGCAGTGGCAATACTGACATCATAAAGACATATGATGTTGTAAGGATGGATATAGGTATCCAAGCCATGGATCTCACAATACCAGGAGTAAACTCTAAGTCAGCGATGGACTTTGGGTAGTTATGGTGCATCAGCATAGGTTTATCTGTGGTAAAAAAATGGACCATGCCAGTGAGTGATATTGATCATAGGGGAGGCTATGCATGTAAGCGGCAGTGGGTTTATGAGAAAACTCTATACCCTCCTCTGAATTTTGTTGTAAACCTAAAAGTGCTCTAAAGAAATATAGTCTTTAAGAAAAATAAGCCAAACTGACACCATCAGAAAGAAAAACGAACCTCGAGATTACCTAAGAAAATTGAGGAATGTTCTGTAACTTGACCGAATGTACAGCTCTGTGCGAAGTGTAGACAGCACCCAAAAGTTTTAGGTAGAGAAATCTGAAGAAATAGTTGAAAGAGGAAAACAAAATGAAACAAAATTCAACTCTTGGCAAAACACAGAATCTTAATAAAGAAATAACTCAGGAAGAATGGAGTCAGTAATCAATACCGCCCCTTCGAAAAGGCTCAGGGGATTTGCAGATGAGTGTCACAAAACCTTCGAAGAGCAAATAATTGCTCTCTCTGTATGAACGGTTGGAGAGGTGGCTCCCAGAGCTCTCCCACTCATCTTACAGGGTATCATAGCTTTTCGGGAGACGGCCCAAGAAATCCAGATGTAGGCATATGTCACCTTATCCTACAACCACGCAGTCCATGTAAAACAGTAGTCAAATTTAGCCGTTTGTCGTAAACATGGAACAAACAAACATTATTACCAAGTTGGGTTTACTATGATTGTGCAAGGACGCATTACCATCGTTACATGATAAAGCGTTTTTAACACATTTAGAGATTTAAGGAGAAAAGATGGGCATCTCACCAGTGACCGCAAGAATATATACAGTTTTCTACTTGTATGATGCAAAAGAAATGATAAAACAACAAAACTCTTACTGAACCAGTACTGTCAGAAACCTCCGTGACCAGTTTGTAATGTATTTATCAGAAACATATAGCATCCGTCATACATGTAGGAATAATAGAGTCGTGTCCATGAAAACTCAGAATCACACCCGAGTGCCTGTTGCTGTGGGATCTTAGCCAGGGCAACAGAACAGTAAGCTAAGAAGCAGAAATGCAGACGCTGAAACAGAGCACCGAAATCCATGCCTGTATGCAAATTACCCAAACAGAGAATCCGCGCAGACTTACAATCTTTTAAAATGAATGAGTTCTGGGGCACCTGGGTGGCTCAGTCGGTTAAGTGTCGACTTCAGCTCAGGTCATGATCTCATGGTTCGTGAGTTTAAGCCCCACACTGGGTTCTGTGATGACAGCTCAGAGCCTGGAGCCTGCTTCTGATTCTGTGTGTGTGTCTCTCTCTCCGTCCTTCCCCTGCTCATGCTCTGTCTGTCTCTCTCAAAAATAAATAAACATTAAAAAATTAAAAAATATAAATTGAGTTTTTCAAGCTGTGAGATACAATGAGGTCAACAGTTAAAATGTCATAGTATCTTGTGCAACTATAAAAATCAATCAGGAGGTGTAATATAAAAAGAAATCCCACTGACAGCAATAGTAGAAATGAGAAGGTATCTAGGAATAAGTTAAATTAGGTTACTTGTCATTATAAGATGATGCTGAAGGACATAAAAAAAAGACGCCAATAATTGGAGCCCTATCCTACGATCACAAATCAGAGGACTTAACTTGCAAAGGTATCACGTTATAAAATTTATCT